AAATAACGACCATACACCCAAACACAATACATATTTCGGTATTTAGTGAGAAAGTCACCGGGAAAATCTAACATCTAACGTTGTGAACTGTTCTTCTGATGTCGACCGGCGTAATAATAAATGTTGATATTGCCATTGTTATCGCCTCTAATTGATCCTTTATTCACCATAAGATTTATTGGTAGTGGGACTCCAGGGGCCTCAACAACACTGTCTGTTCTCTTGGATTCCAAAACTTCTGGCTTCAAGTCTTTCCGAATTTTTTCTGCACTTTGTATAACATCATCCGGAGGCATACCTGATATATAATCTGTGTCCCATAGTTCCTTCTTTCCTGAGTAAACACTATACGGATCTGAAAGGTTCACATGAATGCCTTCCAAAGGATCACAGTGAATGCTTATAACATGAATAAAATAATCACCTGATTGATCATATGTAACGAAAACAAGCTCATATGTTACTTTTCTGTCTTTTTCCAATCTATACAAGTCTATCCGATCAAATCTACGCACTGGAGATTCAGGATACTTCAAAATCAATACCTGCTTGGATTTGCTTGTTCCAATGCTCCGCTCTTCAAAACTATCACCTTGATCCTTAAATTTGATAGCACCAAAATGAAAAAGTCCATTGCTATCTCTAACAGCTTCGAACTCCATATTTACTCTTAGGCCACTAAATAGTAATGGTAAACGATCATCGATGGTGAGAATCAACTTGTCTGGGTTCACTCTGTAATAAATAGCACAAGATTTTGTTGGGACTAAAGGCCCGCTCGTAGTGTAGATGAGAGCGTACTCCTCACGGAATTTTTCACTTGACCATTGGTATAGCTTTGTGTTAACCCTATCACGGCTCAGTGAGGATGAGTTGCCCATATTTTTGTCTTCACCTCCTGATCAACCTACTGAACAATTACACCGAACAGGTCTTTATAGGATTACGGATTCCAGAGGATAGTTGGATTATAAACAATGCTCACATAGAATTTTTAAATGTTAATAAAATATTTTCAAACATTGACATATTAAGTTTAAATTTTTTAAATAATAATAATTGATACAGAAAATTATCATTTGAGATTGACAGTGTTAAAATTAAATAACTAAAAAGATATTTTATAAAATTAAGATTTTATACTAAAATCTTATAAAAATTGGAAGGCTAAAGGTATATATATACATATATATCTTGTGGGTTTTCAAAAGTAGCGTAAGTGGGTAAGAATAACTTTTGCAAGGGCAGAAATGAATTCCATCAAATAATTAATTGAGATAAAGGGGTTTTGATTGAATGATGATTTAAAGATTAATTTGAATGCATGTATATATAGAGAGAGAAAAAAGGGGGTTCGTCTTCGGTGTCAGTCAAAGAAATCTGGGCCATCTAGATAATTTCTTTAATTTTAAATTTAAATTTAATGTTATATTTATTAAAATAAAAATTTATATTTTTTAATAAATATGTTCATAATCAATCTGGATACTACTAATCTAATTTGGGTGGCTTAATTTAACATTATAATTTTTTAAATGACTATCTGCATGTACTCTAAACAATCCAAATTCAATATTAAATTTTTATTTGCAAAGTCCAGATTTAAATTTTTTATTTTGATAAATAAATATTAAAAAATAAAATATATAATATTTTAACTATAACTTTTTTAAAAATAATTTTTTAAAAAAATTTCAAGTTAAAAATCTTAAATTTGAATTGTAAAAGATATATCTAAATAGTCAATATAAAAAAAAGATAAAAATTTTAATATTAAATTAGACCATCTAAATTAAATATTAAATATTTATTAAAATTTTTTTATAATTTTTGTAATTTTTATTTTAAAAAATATATATAAAAATATTAAATTAATTTTTTAAATTTAGATTATTCAAATTAAAAATTTAAATGGTCAAGATTGCATCACGCCATCATCCTCGGTGTTCATCAGGATGATGAGATGGATCCAAAAAAAGGCTGGGACCTGACGTGGTCTTGTATATTAATTAGTGATTAATTTTTTAAGAGAATAAAAAAGTAATAGAGATAATAATGGAACGCCATTTTATCATGCATGTTTGTTGTAAAAAGCATAATATCATATTTAATTGATTGTTAATATTTAGTTTCAGTAGTTGTTGGACTTTTGGTATTTGCTCTTGGGACTTAAAAAATAATAGAGATAATAACAGAATGAACTTTCCTTGTAGACCTTTTGAATAAATTATTAAATAAATTAAGTACGGCATGCCATTTGTGATTTATTTAATAAAAATATAATATTTATATAACATTAAATATAAATTAATTCTGATATTAATGATAATAGAAAGAAAAAATATAATAATTAAATATATATTTTGTTATAAAAATAAAATAAAATAAATAATATGATATAAAATTTTATTTTAATAATTTAAAATATTTTAATTAAATAGATAATAAATAATATGATGTACTCGTTTCACATAAATTTTTTTTTCAGGCTTTTTGTTGTTTCTTGACGTTAAAAGGAGAAAAGTGAATTCGTGGAGCATTTAGAAAATGCCAAGTGGGTTGCAGGCATCATTGTCTGCATTTAAAAATGGATGTATTTTTGTAAAAGCAAAGTGCGCATCGAAATTTCCACTTCTCTGGCCCAAAAATTAAAAAAGAAAGAAATTTCCACTTCTATAATATAAATTCCTGAGAATAACTTTTTGAGTACTTGCAAAGGAAGAATTTGATCCCCATTAATTAAAAGCACATTTCATTGTCGTGCAAATATTTGAAAACACGTGTACATAGTAAAGAAAGAGAAATTGGTTAACTTGTGATTTAAATTTTAGGTGGTATAATACTATATACTACTCCCTTTTTAAATTATAAGATATTTATAAAAAAATTTCTTTATCTTAAAATATATAACACTTTGAGTAGATTAAGGTTTCATTAAATGTGTCAATTTTAATATTATTTTTGCTCTTTTTATAATTAATTTTTATCTTTTCTCTTTTTAATATATTAAATGATATGTATTTTTAAAAATTTATATTTTAAATTATAGTTATAAGATCTGAAGCTCTTAAAATAAAGTGTTTATTCCCCTCCCCAACTCCAGACTTGAAATGTTGATTAAAGGATTTTAAGTCTTTTATTTCTCAATTGACCTTAAATATAAAACATTTATAACTACTTCACAGGTACTAAAAAAATTAGTTTTACTCATTAAATTTATATTAAAACATAATTTCCTTTTCACTTTAATTTCGCTCCACTTCAATGGTTAGCCTCTCTCTATAATAAATTGTATTTTTCCTAAAGTAACATATAATTTCTCTCTTATATTTATTTGAATTTCTAATTTTAATTAATGATCTGTAAAATCTTAAAAAAAATGAAAACCCAATTAATAAACCAGAAATAATAGAATGTCTTATATTTTGGACCAAATTCACTCTTCATTAAGTTTAAGTGTCTTATGTTTGAGACTGGAGGAAGTATTTACATGTCTTATAACTCTTAATTAAATATGTAGGACGAAAATTATGAATGATCGTTATACTATTTCACTTGCATGAGAATCAACCAATGAGACTCAACATGTGTGACTTCGTAATTTAATGAGCTAATTATATTCAAGTTCTTTACGCTAATTATATTCAAGTTCTTTACGTAATTAGATACCATATGGTTAAGTGAATGCCACATTTTTATGCTCCATTATTAATGAACCTTATAACATTTAGTTACGTTGTGGGGAACTAAATATATATAATTCTTCTAATATAATTTTTTAATTAGGGTAAACACCAACAACGAAGACTGAGACTGTCTCCCTCAAAGTACTAAGAGCAAAGAGTATGCCTCTCCCAACTAAGTTTCTAGATGGGCAATGGTTGAAATTTAAACTTTCAACTACTTGCTACTTCTCAAATCAACTTTAATTTATATTGAAACGTGTTACTATTGTCAACAATATTCCTACGATAGCGGAAGGAATGAGAATGGGTTTGTGCTCCATAAATGTGCCCTGCATGAGAACAAATGGATAGGTCCATTTCTCTAACACACGCGTTCAACATATATAGGTTTAATTTTTTCTTACATGGGTCCCAAATAGAAAACGACAATTATTATTCTACTTTCTTGCCCGCCATTTATGTTTGTCGCCATAATTGTTGACACATACATTTTGGCATTAACTTGACCATCTGAGGAGGAGAGCGATTTGCATATCTTGATTTGTCAAGCTAGTTAAAGAAATCTGTATGTATTGCAAATTAATATTCTTAATACATATTTCTAATTTTTTTATTGAAGTATATATTTTTTTCATTAAACCAAAATACATATTTGGTTAACAAATTCCGAATTGAATCAATATAGTACTCTCTTTATTAAAAAATATAAGGCATTTTTAATTGAATTACACCTTTTAATAAGTTAATTAATTGTCATTAAATTAATAACATTTCCATGTTTGCTATTTATTTAATGTAGTATTTCACTGAAAGGTAAATGGTTGAATACTTTATTTATTAAGAGTATTTTTGAAAAGAAATCATTAATTATACATTGAAAAATTAATAATATCTTATATTTTTTAATGGAGGGTATAATAAAAAATATAAAACTCATACTCAAATTATGCTATTCACACATCATGTATAGTACAAATTGTTATTTAAATTTCATGCAATATTAAGAGAAAAAATGTCCATCATGCATGATGCATAAACCACAATTTCGAATATGGAAATTACTGCTATCTCATTTTGCTTATTTGTTTCCTACCCAAAATGAGACATCACCACACGTTCGAGATCTGGTCTGGTATATATCATTGTCATATTCCATCCATGCATATCTTTGAATCCACAGTCTACGAGTGCCACTCACAAGTATTGATGTGCCTCTAAAAATAACCTTTCATTCTTTATCATCCACGCATCACCACATCGCACAAATCTTAAGGTTGTCTCTCTCAAAGCTATCTCCAAATTATCTTATGAGAAATGGCGAAGACTACCATATTGGTTATCTTCTTTCTTCTCTTCGCATTCACTTCATCAAAATTTGCTTCAGCTTCAGCTGATATGGTGCTTGACGCAGAAGGTGGCATGCTTAAAAATGGTGGCTCATACCATATCGTCCCAGCCTTGTCTGGAAGAGGTGGTGATGTGAATGTTATATTTTAATTAATTTTTTACTCGCTAAACATATTTTAATTAATTATTTAATTTAGTTTTTAGTTATGGAATTTGACTTTTTGTTTTCGTTTGGATAGTGGTTATTGATATCCTAGATGTCTACATGTTTAATAAGGAAGTTTGCTCGAATTAAAAACTGTCACACCAATTGTTTTTTTTTTGGTGTCCTTCTTATAATAAATCAAAATGTTTGAATGGATGTTCTTATTCGTATGATTTCATATACTTTTTGATCCGTTCTCTTTGATTTAAAATTTATAAACGTATCCTTATAGTTGTTGTATTTCTAAATACAAAATGGGTTAAAAGGCAATTTATCCCCTAAACTATAGATCTAGGAATGATGAGACCTAAAACTCATTTTTAATACAATGCTCCCACTTAACTTTTAAAAATGGTACAATGTAGCCCTTGCCATTAATAAAAGTTTACGAGTTGAATCCTTATAAAATTTCTAGTTTTTAAAAAGAAATACAAAATCCACATCTTATTAAAAATTTAATTTAATGCTTATAGTCAAAATTTTGCAAATATTTTTGTATTTCTTTTGGTGAAATATTTTTTAAAATTTTATTAATATACTGATCATATATTATCTTAATACTTTGAACATATATAATTAATGGTAATAAAAGTGATAAAAGTATAGATTGAGAAGGTAAAAAAAATTACATATATGGAAAACTATTGTAAAAATATAAAAAAGTCTAAATTGAAAATGATTTAAATTACAAGGTTTTAATTATAATTTAAGAAGCAAGCGAAAAGAATTGAGTAAAACCTTACAGGTTTAAAATATAATTTTGGAAAAATTATTCCCAAGGACGATCAAATTCAAAAGTTATATATTTCTAAGGATCCTTGACTGTAAATTTACCTATAGTTTCATTTGTAAATTTGTGTTGTTTAAAGTGGTAAATGGTAGTTAAATATTGAATTTGGAGTAGTCGTTGGGAATAAACAACTTTTGAATTTGGTTCTTCAGTTCTTGGAAATAATTTTCCCAACACAAATTTTCCTTTAAACTAGACATGCACTTTTGTCATAATGTGCAGGATATATGATGATTAATTTGTACTATTATAACTTGGGAATAATGCATGTTTTTCTATACTTTTTATATTTTATATTGAATATCGATTACATCAATAATATGTAATAAAGATGACACAGAGATGATGAGATCAAGAAAAATTATGACCATCCTGATAAAAATTCAAGGAAAAATGACAGAAAAAACTCCTTCAAGCATGAAAATGATTATGAAGTCCCATGCATGAAATGTGATAATGTTTTTTTAAGTCCCTTGATACCTTTATAACATTAATGTATTTCATGAAACTAATACAATAACCCCAAGTATTTTAAATACTAGTTACTATTTTTGTTTAAGTAATAATTACTTTTCTTCTACAAATGAATAAAACAATATAGCAAATGACAAGTTCCACATTATAAATTTTTTAATCATAGAAGTTCAAGTATTATAAATAGTAGTAACTACTTTAGTTTAAGTAATAACTACTTTATTCTTTGCACATTTTTTAATCACCAATTCATTTTTTTATTTTAAATTAGGGCATTATAGTAATTTCATAAAATACATTAATATTGGAAAGGTTCCAAAAGACTTGAAAAGAATTATCACATTTTCCAAAACCTCATTGTCATTTGCATATTAAAAAAAAATCCTGTCATTTTCCCAAAATTGAAACATAAAACTAATTAAAAATTTTCCAAAGCATTAAAATAATGCGACTAAATTGTCAAATTATATTAGCCATATATGCGATATTGAGCTAACGGTCTTTAAGTCCTTCGTTTTCATGGTTTCTCTGCATCATGTGGTGGCATTGGGCTAGCTGCTATAGGGAACGAAACCTGCCCACTAACGGTAGTGCAGAAACCTTCTGAGGAAACCGATGGCTTGCCTCTGATAATTTCATCTCCGGCAAGAATCGCATACATCGCAGAGGGTCTTCTTTTGGACATTGCATTCTCCGCAGTTCCGACCTGTGCTCCGACACTGTCAAAGTGGACGATCGTGGAGGAACAACCTGCGGGAATGTCTGTGAAAATCAGGGGTTATAACAATACAGTGGATGGTAAGTTCAAGATTATTAAATATCAGAGTCTCTTCTCTAAGCTTAAGTTCTGTCCTACTGGTGATCCTTGTGGAGATCTTGGGCTTTATTATGATGAAAGTGGAAATAGACATCTGGTAATTGTTACTGATGAGAGTCCACTTGCAGTTTTGTTCAAGAAAGTCTTATAAATTATTCAAGGAATAGAGTTTAATTAACGGAAAAATCGCACACAAGGATCAATATAAAATTCATTGTCGTTAAAATAAGAACAGGGACTTATTTTTTCCTTATTGTTGTTAAAATAAGAACAGGGACTTAGCACCCAATTTACTTAGTACCAAAACAAACAAAAAAATTGTGCTGCACGCATTCACTTATATGGCGCCTCCTGCATTGAATATAATAAGGGAGATAACCTCTGAAACAATCTTGGTCGATCCACCGTAATAAATTAATTGTTTACTCTATTTTTACATGATGTGACTATGATAACATTTGTGTAACGAGGTTACTCACTACTTAGTATTTAGTATTTTTCTGTTTAAATTACATTTGTTAAATAGTCTTTAAATTTGATTATTGCTGAGTTACGTTTTTTTAAAAAATATCTCTCTATTAATTAGTGTAAAATTATATTCACCTGTCAACACTAATTTAGACTCCTATTGTATGGGGTCATTTTTATTAATGGTGGTCTCATGGATACCACAGGTACATCCTTTGAAATCCACTTTTAAATGCAGAATGGGGCAGGGGAACGGGAAAGGGAGAAGAGAATGGAGGGAGGAGAGAGGGAGAGGGGGAGAGAGAGTAGAGATGATATATAAAAAAGAGAAAAACTTAGAGCAAAGGCAATGCAATAACAATTCTTCTTCAATAGTAAGTGTCTTTACAAGATAAATGAGTTAAGATGTTATTTATAAGCCTCAATTACCTAACACAAGAATTAAAAACATGAATATTCTAGAAATTTTAAAATTAAATGAAAAGATAACCATAAATGAAAACAAAATAACAAATACTAAAAGATAATAATAATTTAAATATTATGACAGTTAAAATAAAATATTCTTAATTAGTAAGATGAAGTATCTTCAAACTTCAAATCTTTAATATTTTCATTTTTTTTTTCGTTCCATCATTTCTTATTCCCATCAATCAGCCAAGTAATTCCTTTCTTTGGATTAGTAATTATATGTAGTACCTCTAATCCTATATATAAGTCTTATTCTATAATGAATTTATGGTCTTTTTTATAAATCAATTTATACAAAAATATTGATAATTAATTATTTTCTTCCTATTTTATTCTTTCATAATTTTCAAAATGTTACAAGAATCATCTTATGCCACTTGCCTCGAGAAGGTGTTTCGGAATTTAAAAAGGGAAAAAGCAAAAGAGTATCCAAGTTAAATTTCCACAATTCAATGTTGTCAATAGATTGATTCTATACTTCTTTCAAATAAAGTAGTGATATATGATTATCCAAGTAGCCAATTGTTATAAAAGGCATCAGAAACACAGAACAACCCAGTGCTAGTTATTGGCACAAAGGTTAGCCTAATATTTAATCCAATCAAATCAAATCAAACCAAATCAAGGGAATACGGAGCGTTGATTTAAAACTGAAACAATCGTCTTGCTTATAATCCATTTGATGACTTCTTAATCCAAAACTCTTATCTAACTTTTCGGAAGAGGCATCTAAACCATCAAGTAAATTCCAATAATTGTCTTACTACGAAAGCAGCTGACATCTCATAGATAGCCAAGTTTAGTATGCGATTGGATTTTGGAATTCACCTTTGAGAAAGGGGAATCTGGATTATACTGTGTATTAAGCAACCTAGGATAAGAAGTAATCTAATTTGTGCTTGCAATAGACATATATTCAAGAGCTTTAGGCAATCTTTTAAAGCTTGTGCATAATTAGATCAGGACTTGCTTAAGATATTATAGTATAATTAGATCACGGATTGCGTAATTGACGGATGCATAATCTAAATTAGAACCTTGATTTTGAAGTTGAATTAAAACATGATAACCAGAGGAAATTGAATTGCAAAGTATAAAAGGAGATTGGAATTCCTAAATGCTCTTTAGTTGTTAATTTTACCTCATATATCTTGACTTTATTCATATTTTTAATTTAATAAAAAATTCACTCTTAGATTGGATAACTTAATTGGGACGAAGACAACTTTTGTTTGTGCCCAAATTCTTTTGTCTAGTTCCTTGTGAGATAACCTAGATTTGTTATATTATGTTTGATCTGTACACTTTTGATGTGTTTAATGATTAAAACTACAAGAATTGAGTTGTACCAAGTCAAAGTCATATGGTCCAATTAGTGAAAAATATTCCACAGAAAAATATTTTACGAAATTTTAAATATGAAAGATTTAATTTATACTTAAAAGTCCTGATATATATATATATATATATATATTTGACGTAGATGCATTTTTAGTTAACTAGAGCTAGCAAGCTTGGCCACCTTGCATTATGACGGAAAATTGTTATAAAATTTATGAAAAATCCACTAGAAATTGAATTTTTTATGGATTATAAAAGTTTTCTATCTGGCACAAAAATTTTATGATAAACCTAATTTTATATTTTTTTTAATATCTCTAAAACACATGCTGTCGGTAATAATACATAATTTGACTTGACTAGCTACAAGTACATATATTCAAATATATACCTTAGAAAATTTCTAATTAAATTATATTAGACTCAAAACTCTCTGGATTAAATTAAATCTACTTGTGCAAAACATGTGCATAATCGCACACATCATGAACTACAACTTTGAGACCTCCTTATGGACTAAAAGAAAACCCTAGGTCTTCTGACACTATATATACACACCATATTAGCTTTAGAAGCTAAAAAGCGGCTGTCAAACTCTATTCAGTGCATAAGGTTTTTCTTTGGGGTTCTTCTAACGATTTAGACATGCCAGCTAAAGAAATCTTTGATCAAGAAGAAGATGATGGTGTCGAAGCTTTGGAAAAAGGATGCATTCGGTTTATAAATTATCAGATTGATGGAATACCAAATTATAAGGTATTTATAGAACTCATTGTGACTTATAATCTTCTAGATCTTGCATATATAATATAGGCTCAACTGTCATATGTTGAGAAATTATATTGTGAATTAATGAATGATCTTGGAAAAGAATGAAATAAACAATCGTTGAGTTTCATTAGCTATTTAAGGATTTTACGGGCAAGATAATGGGGTTTTATGTTTAAGGTTTAGGATTAGAATTTGAAGTAGTAATTTTTTCTAGGTTACTTCGACAAATCTTCTATTGGCTTGCACATTCCACTCTGTAGAAGTTCTCTTTTTCTCTTTCCAGTTATATAACAAGAGAAATATGAGGGACTGGCGTTGATAGATTAATTTTCTTCCTATCCATGAGCGAGTGCACTGACAGATCCATAGATGAATAATTCGAGAGTTGAAACTTTGATTAAATAAAATTAAGGGCTGATGTTTATCTTTAACATTCTTAAAGGAAAACAAATATCTTTACAAAGAAATGTGAGAATCAAGAGGCCACAAATAAACCCTAGTCCCTCCCCTCTTGGGTTAGCTATCATTACATACGCAGTGAAGATAAACTTTTTTTCCAGACATTTTGCAAAGAATATTTAAGGAATAAGTATTGTAATCACACGACACATCCTAGACTCTATGGCTATGTTTTTTAAGAAAACGGTTCACTCAGATATAATTCCTTATTTACATTTGAACTAATGTGAGCTTATTATGGCATTAAGTGTTTTTAGTTTTTTGAATGAAACAGGTGCTCGTTTGGGATATTGACGCTCATCCACCATGCTATCCCTGGAGCTCAACATTCCAAACCAAACTGGTTTAAATATTTTTTAATAATCCGGGAAATGCCAGAGAATAATAATCTGTTAACGACACATTCAGACAGGCCTGAGGTATTTGTCTAATTATCTCTTTTTTTAAGTCTTTTCATTCATAGCTAATCGTTAGAAGGTCAGGAAGATTTAATTTGAGAGATGTTCAGTGTCATATTCCATGCCAAACTGGTTTAAATATTTTTTTCCTCCTCATGCATTTTTACAGTGATTCTTTTGGGCAGTTTTTATTTAAGATATATGCGGTGCTTGTTGAGATAAGATGTCTTCTTTAACTTGTGAGGTGTAAGAGAACATCCTCAAGTATATTTATATATCTCTGTTTTAACTTGTTGCACTTGAGAGACTATCCTTAAAAAAACACTTGCATATATATATATATATATATATATATTCATTCTTCAGGATAGTATTTTAAAAGAGCAAAATTCCTCATAGGCCTAAACCCCAAGGGCCTGTTGATCTTTTTCTCTGTAATGCTTCAATTTTTTTATTTTTTATTTTCATTTTTGAATTGTAAGACTATTTTTTTTTTTTTGCTTTTAGCTAATATATTCATTTGACTCTCTTTCAAAAAAAAAAAAGGGGAGGGTATTCTAAAACAAAATTATATGCTCAGGAAAGCTTTTTCGAAAGAGGAAAACTCTTATAGGAACCCATTAAGCACTATATATAACTTGAATATGTCTTTGATTGCAGAGTGCGAACTGAAGATATGATTTTCATTATCTTAACTTAAACTTGCTAACAGAACACACACACACACACGTGTGTGTAAAATAAACAATTAACATGCTTAGTTCATTTTTATTTATCTTTCTATTTATTAATTATTTTTTCCTTCTTCAAGTCAAGGTACCCACTATAGGAGAATTGATTGCAAATGCAAGGAAATAAGGTATTCTTGCGGTACTTTTGTGCTGATTTTATGCCAAGGCATGCTTTTATCTTCCACATCATATTTAATGTTACTAGCTTACTATAAGATTTTTAGTCAGTTAACTTTTATCTATTCTTGTTCTGGATATATATCTCTTGACATAAATTTTTTGATAAGTCGCTAGAGAGCTTAAGGTCATTCCAGGTTCTGTTCAGTTTCAAGAGCCATATGAAGAAGAAATCAAGTATTGTTCGGGCTTATATTCAGGCCATTTCCTTTGTAAAGCAACCAAATTCCCCTGCATAATGGTAGAGTAACTATATATATATACATGGATCCTTTTTAATCTGCATTGCAAAATATTTCAATCCAAAGACTTGTATCCTTTGAAGGTAGCTTATC